AAAAAAAAAACAACCAAAAAAGGCAGAAGCACACACACAAAAAAATTATCATGGTTTGGGTCAAGTATATCTTAGTCCTCAAACTGACATCTTTGCTTTTGAACACTTTCAAGAGGTCTTGTGCAGCAGATTTGTCTAATGCAATACATTGTTTAATTTCTTGACTACTTCTTCCTTGAATGTTGATTGTGGATCCAAATAAAATGAGGTCAGTGAGGTACGCCTCATGAGCACAATGAAGTGTTCTGGAGTTTCCATTCTGTGCAATGTTTTCCATAGATTGTCATGCTCCACACAGTTGAATGCCTTTGCATAGTTAATAAAGCACAAGTAAACATATTTCTGGGATTCTATGCTTTCAGTCAAGATCCGTCTGATTTGAGTAATGATAGCCCTAGTTCCACGTCCTCTTCTAAACCCAGCTTGAATTCCTGGTTGCTCCCTATTGATGTACTTCTGCAACCATTTTAAAATTATCTTAGGCAAAAAATTTACTTGCATGTGATATTAATGATATATTATTCAATGATTTTACATTCCATTGGGTCACCGTTCTTTGGAATAGGCACAAATATGGGTCTCTTCCAATAATCTTCACATAGACAAGCTGTCTTCCAAATTTCTTGGCAGAGACGAGTGACGCATGGAGGGGATTGTAACCTCCAGTACCGCATCAGTTTGTTGAAACATTTCAGTTGGTAGTCCATCAATTCCTGCAGACTTGTTTTGGCCAATGCCTTCAATACAGCTTAGCCTTCTTCATTCAATACCGTTAGTTCTTGATCATAGGCTACCTCTTGAAATAGTTGAGCATCAACCAATTCTTTTTGGTACAGTGATGATATATATTCCTTTGATCTTCTTTGGTGATTCGGGCATGATTCAATATTTTTCTCATTGATGCTATTACGTGCCTTCGAAGAGGTTTTGACTCCTAGCAACCCTGTACACAACAGAAGGAAACACTGCCCAGTCCTGCATCAGTCTCATAATTGTTACATTTGAGCCCATTGGTTTTTTGTTTTTTTTTTAAGTCATGTTTTATTGGATACAAGTTGGCACATGTTCACTTCACTGATAAGGGCCTTGAGACATGAATGACTGACAATTTTTGCCCTTCAAACAATGCAGACATGTTTAAACATTGATCATTCGATATGTGTAAGATTTGTTAATCATCATATTATGTACACTATTTATAAATTCATGAACATAAAGCACATCACAACAATTTATTAACAATGCCCTACAAACAATAGACTGCAAACACAAGATAACATATTAGAATTAATGAATGGCAGTGTCATCTGGAATCAGGAAGACCAGAGAAAAACTGACACATTTTAATTATGGTGTTGGGGAGGAAGATTGAATATGCCGTGGACCACCTGAAGAATGATCAAATCTGTTTTAGAATAAGTACAGGCAGACTGGTCCTTAGAAGCAAGGTTGGCCAGACTTCATCTCACATTCCTTAAACATGTTATCAGAAGGAATCAGTCCCTGGAGAAAGACATCATGCTTGGCAAAGTAAAGGGTCATCAAAACAGAGGAAGAACCCCCTACAAGACAGACTGACAAGTGTCTGCAACAATGCGCTCAAACACAGCAATAATTATGAGAATGGTACAAGACCACACAGTGTTTCATTCTGTTGTAAATGGGGTCACTATGCGACAGAGCCAATTCAATGACACCACACAACAACTGCCATCTGCTGTCTTAGTCTCCTAGGGCTGCTAGAGCAAAATACTACAAGGTGGTATTTTTTTTTTTCTTGTCTCAACCTAGTTACCACATATTTATTGCCAAACTACCCAGTATCCTAAGGCTTCATTTGTCTTACCAAAATAAGAGAGTGGAAAACTATTTCCAAATGATATAAATATTATAAACTATCATAAGTGTTTCTAAATAACATGGTATGCTCGTGGCTTGACTTTCATCAAATGGAGAGGTGTCCTTTTTTCTTTTTCTTTTTTTATAAATGTTTTATTGTGAATTATATGATAGTTTACATGGGAGAACTTTAGTTTTACATTCATTCCATCGTATATCATCTCACTGCCATGGTTCCAATCCCCTCCATGCATCCTCAACCACTCAAAGGGTATATCCCAGAAACCTGCTCCCTACACTTCACCCTCCTCCCCCCAGTTTTCAGCCCACAGTCCCTTTCCCTCTCTGGGTCCAAAGTCCCCAGTCGCTTCATCACTCCACATCATCATCTCTGTCTCTATCTCAGGCATCTCTGTTTCTCTGGGTAGGGTCCCGCTCTCGCGAGCCCATTGTTTTTGCCCCCGTGCCAATCCATCTCACTGGAGGTCTTCTTTTTTGTGGAATCTCCATTTTACCAAGGATGATATCCAAAGTATGAGAGGCAAAGTCTCACCAACCTGGCATCTAAGGAGCATTTTGGCTACACTTCTTTCAAGACAAATTTATTTATTCTTCTGGCAATCCATGGTTCCTTTAATATTCTCCTCCAACACCATAATTCAAATGTGTCTGTTCTTCTATGGTCTTCCTTATTCTTTGTCACATGCATATGAGGTGATCAAAAATACCATAGAATTCTTCAATATTGCAACCCAAGGCCTGAATGTTTTCTTCAGTTTTTTCATCTTGAGTAATGTGAGCATGTTCTTCTCTTTTCATTTTCTAACTCCAGGTCTTTGTACATTTCATTAAAATATTTGACTTTGTCTTCTCGAGTTGCCCTTAGAAAGTTTATGTTTAGCTCTGTAACTTCCTCATTACTCCAGCTGCTTTAACTTCTCATAAACTCAAGAGCAAACATCAGAATGACTTCTGACATCCATTTTAGTGTTTTCTTTCTTTTCTCTCTTTTAAATGACCTTTTGCTTTCTTCCTGTATGATGTTTTTGATGACATCCCACAACTCTTCTGGTCTTTGGTCATTACTGTCTAATCAATTAAATCAAGGTCATAGTTTAACTCTGGTGGAGTTGCTCTAATTTTCTTCAGCTTCAGTCTGAACTTGCATATGAGCAATTGATAGGTCCGTTACACAGTTGGCCTCTGGTCGTGTTTGGGCTGGTGATATTGAGCTTCTCTGTCATCTCTTCCCAAAGATGTAGTCAACTTGACTCTTGTGTATTCCACCTGGTGAGGTCCAGGTGTATAGTCACCTTTTATATTGTTGAAAAAGACATTTGCAATGATAAAGTCATTGGTCTTGTAAAGTTCTATCTTGTGATCTATGTTGTTGTTGTTGTTATGTGCCATGGAGTCGGTTCCGACTCAGCAACCCTGTACAGGGTTTCCGAGGCTGTACATTTTTATGGGAGCAGAAAGTATCATCTTTCT